CTTAGTACTACCATGCCCTGTGATTAAAGTCAGTGGAAAACTACAGCAACCCAATTCCGATATGACTACTAATGATGCAGACCTTTCAGGAATGAAGGTTTGGGTCACCCCATCAGGCAAAGAACCACAACCAGCTGAGGTGCTTGCTGAGGGCAAAGGGAATATAGACTGGGTGGTGGAAGAAGGTAGTTCTAAGTACCAGGTATGGCCATGTGACCAGTGCAGAAACAAGGACTGTGTTATGAGTATTTCTGCTTTGTAAGTGTGCATCAAATATTTTTGTTTTCTTCACGTATAAAACATAAGACGTAAACGGGGCTAGTGTGTTTTCAGTTGTAAGCTTGCTAGTTGTATTATGTTAGGTGCAAGTATGATTTTCCAATTGTCTTTATTCAGAGATTATGTATGGTTTAAGGAGATGTGTACATGTGCCAAGTTGACAAGGGGCGGACTATGATGGTTAAGATTGTGTGTCAACTTGGCTGGGCCATGATTCTCAGTGTTTATATGTGATCACTCCCATGATGGAATCTGCAGTGAGTAGTCAATCAGTTGAAAGGGAGTTTCCTTGGGGGTGTGGCCTGCATCCGAATATAAGCAGACGTTCTGGCTTTTTGCTCACTCTGGATTCTGCAGCTGCCTCCTGTTTGTCTGATCTCCAGTTCTTGGGACTTGAGCTATCAGCTTATCTGCCGATCTTGGGATCTGTCGATCTTCATAGCCTGTGAGTGGGAGCTCTGCTCTCCAACCTGCCGATCTTGGGTTCGCCAGCCCCTGTGGCTTCACGCATTGAGAGAAGGCTCTATCTTGATCCATGGACTCAGGATGTTCCAGCCTCTACAATCACATGAGGTGTTTCGTTGATATAAATCTCTCTCTCTATTTATATGCTTTACTGGTTTTGCTTCTCTAGAGAACTTAGCCTAAGACAGATAGTCATGATAAGCTTCTGTTCACTGTTATGTCCCCAGCTTCCAGAATAGTGCCTGGAACATAGTAAGTGGCCAATACATATTGGGAGAATGAAAGGATATGTGCTGGGGAATGTATATAAAATCACCTCCTGATTTAAGTTAACTTTGTTTGAATAAAAACTCAGAGGGAATAGAAGGTTACAGGGAGTATCAAGTTCTATCTTGAGAAAAAAAATTGGCCACAGAAAAGCTGAATAGTTACAAGGATTCATATAAGACCAACTGAGTGTGATAAAGAAGAAACTTAACATACAGCAAAGTCTAAACCGGTAGGAAAGTAGCAAGTCCCTCTTTAGAAAAAGAGAATTCTCTGGGTGGTGCAATGGTTAAGTGCTAGACTACTAACCAAAAGGTTTGTGGTTCAAACCCAACCAGAGATGCCTTGGAAATAAGGCCTGGTGATCTGCTTCTGAAAGGTCAGAGCCTCAAAACCCTACGAAGCAGTTCTACTCTGCACACGAGGTCACCATGAGTCGGAATAGACTCGACAGCAACTAACAGTATAGTCAGAAAAAGAACAGATCTTAGCTCTAGGTATCAGAGCTAAGATGAGCCTTACAAAACTTTAGTCTCAAAAAAGGCTAAGGATTTTCTGCTTAGGCTTTAGTAACCACCAGAGTTGAAGTTTAAGTCTGTTGTGTGGATTATATAGTGTTGCGTAAAAAATTACCCCAAAACTTGACGGCTTAAAACAACAATTTACCATTCACAGTTTCTGTGTGTCAGGAACCTGGGCAGAGTGTGGCTGGGTCACTCTAGCTCAGGGTCTCTCAGAGACTGCAATCAGTTGTTACTGGAGCTACAGTCATCTCAAGGCTCAACTGGGAGAGTATCCCCTTCCAATGCCACTCATGTGGCTGATGGCAGGCAGCAGGTTCTTGCTGGTTCATGGCCAGAGACACCAGTACTTGCCACATGGGCCTCTCCATAGAGCAGCTCACACACGGCTGCTGGCTTCCATGACAGTAAGGAAGAGAGAGGAAAAGGGACAGTTTGAGGTCTGCCAACATTGACTTGTCTTACCATGTTCCTCATTATCCTGAAGCAGCAGGTTTGATAGAATGATGAAATGATCTTTTGAAGACTCATTTATGGGTCCTGACGGGTGACAAGACCATGGGGGGCTGGATGAATGTCCTCCAGGATGTGGTATTTAATCTAAATCAGCATTTAATATATGGTGCTATTTCTCCAAGATTTGTGAATTAAAGAGTGGCAATGGGAGTGGCTCCTCTCACTATTACCCTTAGCGATCAACTAGTAAAACTACTGCTTCACATTCCCATAACTTTAGGCAATGTTGGTCTAGAAGTTTTAGGTCCAAAGGGAGAAATGTTTCCACCAGATGACACAACAATGATTCCACTGAGCTGGAAGTTGGAACTGCCATCTTGCCATTTGGAGCTCCTTATGCCACTGAATCATGGAGGCAATGGAGGGTGTTACTATACGGCTGGGATGGGTGATCTTGATTACCAATGGAAAATTGAACTGCACAGTGAAGTTAAGAAGTATGTATGCAATGCAGAAGATCCTCTATGGCACCTCCTTAGTACTTCTATGTCCTGTGATTAAAGACAATAGAAAACCAAAAAAAGCAGGAGTTCTAATGGCTTAGAAACATCAGGAATGAAGGTTTGGATCATTCTATCAGGCAAGGAACTGTGAACAGCTCAGATGATTGTTGAGAGCAATGAGAATATGGAGCAGGTAGTGGAAGAAAGTAGTAATAAATACCAGCTACAACTACAGGAAGGAGCCCTAGTGGGTCAACAGTTAAGTGCTCAGCTGCTAACCAAAAGATCTGCTATTTGAACCCACTAGCTGCTCAGTGGGGGAAAAGACCTGGTGATCTACTCCTGTAAAGATTTCAGCCTAGGAAACCCTATGAGGCACTTCTACTCTGTCCTATAGGGTCACTATGAGTCGGAATTGATTTCACAACACACAACAACAACACAACTACAGGATAAGCTCCAAAAATGAAGAAAGTAATAGATGTATTAATCAAATACTTTTGTTTTCTTATCTCTCATTCCTTTATAATTAATATAAGAAGTGTCGATAGCAATCAGCTTTATTTCTCAGTATTTAAATTACATGATATCAAAGGTGAGAAGAATGATCATGAACTGAAGACAAAAAAAGGAACTTTGTACTCTATTCTGGGAAAAGTTTCAGATGTATGTTGGATAGATGTATCATGTTAGGTGGGAGGATGACTTTATTTGGAGATTAAGTCTGGTTTAAGGAGACACGTTAGGTGGAAGGATGACTTCATTAATGTCTTTATTTAGAGATTAATCTGGTTTAAGGATATATATATATATATATATATATTATATATATACACATGAGTGTCAAGTTGACAAGGGGTGGACTGTGACGGTTTTTGTAATGTGTCAACTTTGCTAGGTCAAACTACATTTCCCAGAATTCCTTTTCCATTTGTTTCCAGTTAGGGTAGACCACACGAGAGATGCTTATGGAAGACATGGAGGATGAAAGTGAAGTAGCAGTCATTTCTAGCTGACACATGTGTTGCTTATCTGCTGGCTTACCTTGTGGTATGAAGCAGTGGCCAGGTGTGTGTGTATTTAGCTCCATGACACAGGGCACTGGCTTCTACAGGACACTCACACCACCAAGGACAGAGGCAAGTTTAATACTATCCTCATGGACTCCAGCTCATGCTCATGAGTTCCAGCTCATTCTTGCTCTCCCTAACTTTACATCCATCTTCTCTTACCAATTGTCTGCTCTGCTGACTCAAGCTCCAGTATCAGATGCAAAGTCAACAGTCTTATAAAGACTGTTTGACCAGCTCTGGTCAAATCTTATGTGAAATCCCTGTAACAAATCCTTTAATATATATACTATATATATATGTATATACATACATATATACACTTACTATATATATATATACGGATACATCTCTCCTAGTGGTTATGCTTCTCGATTGAACCCTGGCTGATACACTTGCAAAGTTTAACTATAATGACAGTGATGTTCAGCTGAAGTTTAGGTATTAATGATAGTTTAGTTAGGACAGTAGTTCTTTACCTAGTATTTGAACCCTTTTCCCAAATTATTTATTTTAAATATGTAAACATGTCTGCAACTTTTAAGTACTTAGTGATTAACTATCTCCTATAAGTGTTTCATAAAGTAGTTTGTGTTCCAAACTTCTACTCATTTTCTGGCATCTAAAACCAGAGCAAGCCCATTTTTGTTCTGTAGCCATAACCAGATACCACTATTCACTTTGTTTTTACAATCAAAATCAGTTGGGAAGTGTGAAAGCCAAAACAGAAAGCAATGACAAATGTCACCTGCTTCTCTTACCTAGAGACTGCAGTATAAACTCTGTAGGCTGGAAATCAATGCCCTCCTTAAAGTGGCTGGAGTCCATCTGCTTCCTGAGGTGCCTGCCTCTCCACCTCTTTCCTTCAGACATCAGGGCAGGGCCTGTAAACATCTTGAGGTCCATCTAACCCTTGATCCTTGCATTCCTCTGTTTTGTTTGCCTAGAATGCCATCCTGGCATGACTTCCCACAATCCTATCCAACCACCAAGATCCAGCCAAAACATTTGCATGGAAGTTTTTTCTAAATACTCTAGGCCACAGCAAGCTCTCTTCTCTCAATTCACAGACTTTACTGCCTGTCATAACATTGAGTTGGTACTCAATCAGAGACAAATACCCTATGAGATATCCCATACGGCTATCCAGTCCTTGTCTTAGTCAACCTTTTATTTATGTATCTCTTGTCTCCCTAAGCTCCAACAGCAACTATCATATTACTCTTAAATTGTTTTTACTACTCATTTTACTGAGCTTGTTGGATAAGCATTTTAAACTATTCAAATTTCTGACAGTGGATTAGATTCATGCCTTACCTTACCAAGAATTCTTCCAGCAATTCAAGTCAGAATAACATGTTTAATTCACAAAATTGTACTTTTTATTAGAATACATTTTCACCTTAAAAAAAAACACACATCTCTACTCAAACATGTACCTGCTGACACTCGGGGACAGTCGGGCAGCATGGACTCCACCGATGTGTCTAATGGTTCTGAGCTGGAGACCCAATTACAACAGTTCTGCAATGCAATAGAAACAATTCTCTGTTGAAACAATTTAAGCCAAGATCAAATTTTTAAGCTGCAGAGATTAATTTATCCTATATGATCAACTACTACAAGTGTATTCATTTTCTATACACTTTAAAGAATTTTCTTCTGGGAACAATAATTATTCAAGACCAACACAACTGCAGAAAAAGGTTTGTCTTTTACAATTCAGCCAATCATCTGTGCTCATAAGAAGGTATGTAACTTTTTGCGAACCATGATGTAGTATATTTCTAAGAGAAAGTTAGATGGTCCAGAAGTAATGAAATGAATAGAAAGATCATAGTTAAAAGAAACTGATTGAAATAAATATTAATTTGATCATGTGAAAGAATAACTACATTTCTAAACTATGTCCTTTGGATGTGTAATCCTAAGAGAAATAAATTTCGTATTTATTCCTAAAAACTTGGCAGAAATAAATATACCATCTTTTAACTTTTACTTAAACCTGGTTCAATGAAGGCCATATCAAAATAGTTAAAAAGAAATACAACCTGGTGAATTGTATCTATGTGTCGGAGACACAAAGCTTTCCATATTAAAGATCAATCTCTAAGGCAATGATGATTTACACTCAGACAAATGAAATTAAAAAAAATCTATATTCCTTCCACACATTTTAAGTCTGTATTTAAAGTCTGGCCTTTGAAAAATGTGATTAACTTCATATGGTTTTCTGATTATTTCTTAAAACACACACACACACACACACACACACACACACACACACACACAATGAATTTCCAGACAGATTTTTAAAAAAGAAATCACCCCATCAATCATGTTGGAAAAATCGCCGATTGCTATTCTGGTAAACAAGCATGTATTGTGTATTTTTAGATGCTTGCTGCCCTGGTTGAGCACCATGGAATCCGTCCTCACTGTGGAAAGATCCTTGACTGGTAGATCAAGTGTCTTATTGTATTTCCTTAATTCATTCTGTCTGGAAGAAGATGTCAGCTGTGTTGCAGTGAGGAGAGAATTTCAAAGGCCCCAGTCCCCACCAATAAAGGCTGAGGAATGGCTTTTGAATAGATTTGTCAAGGCAACCCTACTGTTCTGGGACCAGGGAGAACAGGAATAACATAAAGGAAGAGTTGCTATATGAGATTAGAAAGTGAAGTTCACAAAGCATGGCAGATTTTTGTAAGAAACAGTAGATCAATGAAACTACTGAACTGTGTGGAAAAAAAACGTGAAAATAAACACAACATCAAGTAATGTTCTTAAATGCTCTCTCTCTTTTTACATTTAAAATGGATAAAATATTAGTATTTTCATGTATCACAAAAGCTTGATGGTTTAAAGTGGATACACATTCTATAACGTGCACTCCTAATCTTAATTAGCAGCTGAACGCAAAATTATACAACGTAAGAGAGCAGAAATTATAAAAGAAGTAGGGTTTTAGAAGATATTTCATACATTTAAAATAAGTAAAATTAATATTACTATTGATAGAATACCACATCAAAGAGTTCTAGATAATGCAGAAGATTAGCACACAATTAGCCAGCTTTTATATACAATGTGACACTTGCTTGTAAGAAATAAGTATTCTCCAAAGCAGTGTCAAGATATGTAAATGGATGATTTGTTTTATCATTCATCACAGCCCCTAATAAATTCAAGAAATCATGACTTCTATAGGTACTAAAAATAGGCTCCCAATGATACAGGGAGATAGCTTCAATGAAGAATGACTTTCTCTTTCTCTCTCTTTTTCTTAAACAATTCAGTCTTTTCAATGACAGCAATTAGCACTCACTACAGACAGACAGGCAGAGATTAGGTATATATTTTAATTATTATTCATCCTACTGGTACCTCCAAATCTGATGGAAGTCAGCTATTATCCAGGTGATATGTCAGTCTTAATACTGTGCACCTACACTTAAAATACGTAAAACAATGTCTTATAGGAATTTCTAGTATTAATAGAAGTGATGGTATCAGGTTGCTACGAGTCGGAATTGATTCGACGGTACATGACAGCAATAACAGTACAATATGCAAGTGATTAATCATTTTCTAACTTGTTACCATTGACTTTAAAAGCTGAACAAAATGAACTTTATCAAGATCACCTTTAGCTTAAACATTTAAAGCAAAATACAGGTTAAATTTTTTTTTTATTGTACTTCAGGTGAAGGCTTACAGAACAAATAGTTTCTCATGAAACAGTAGTACACATATTGTTTTATGACACTGGTTAACAACCTGACAACATGTCAACCCTCTCCCTTCTCGACCTTTTTTTTTGGTGAAAATATACATAGCCAAAGACACACCATTTCAAAAATTTCTACATGTACAATTCAGTGACATCGATTATATTCTTCCAGTTGTGCTGCTATTCTCATTATCCTTTTCCAAATTATTCCATCACCATTATCTTCAACTCACCGTCCCCTAGGCTTCCCAGTAAAGCTTTTGAGTTGCTGTTGTCAATTTGATCTCACATAGATAATTCTTTTTTTTTTTTTGTACTTTAGATGAAGGTTTACAGAACAAATAGTTTCTCATTAAACAGTTAGTACACATATTGCCCTATGACAATGGTTAACAACCCCATGACATGTCAACACTGTCCCTTCTCAATCTTGGGTTCCCTATCACCAGCTTTCCTGTCCTCTCCTGCCTTCTAGTCCTTGTCCCTGGACTGCTGTGCCTCATTAGTCCCATTTTGTTTTATGGGGCTGTCCAATCCCCAGCTGAATGGTGAACCTTGGGAGTGACTTCACCACTAAGCTAAAAGGGTGTCCAGGAGCCATACTCTCAGGGTTTCTCCAGTCTCTGTAAGGCCAGTAAATCTGGTCTTTTTTTGTGAGTTAGAATTTTGTTCTACATCCTTCTCCAGTTCTGTCCAGGACCCTCTGTTGTGATCCTGGTCAGAGTAGTCAGTGGTGGTAGCCAGGTACCATCTAGCTGTACTAGACTCAGTCTGGTGGAGGCCATGGTAGCTGTGGTCCATTAGTCCTTTGGACTAATCTTTTCCTTGTGTCTTGTTCTCTTCATTCTCCGTTACTCCCGAAGGGGTGAGACCAGTGGAATATCTTAGATGGCTGCTCACAGGCTTTTAAGACCCTAGACGCTACTCATCAAGGTAGGATGTAGAACACTGTCTTTATAGACTGTGTTATGCCAATTGAGCCAGGTGTTCCCTGAGACCATGGTCCCCACAGCCCTCTGCTCAGCAATTCAGTCCCTCAGGGAGTTTGGATGTGTCTATGGAGCTTCCATGACCTTTCCTTGTACAAGTTGTGTTGGCTTCCCCAGTATTGTGTACTGTGTTACCCTTCACCAAAGTTACCACTTGTCTATTGTCTATTTAGTTCCCCTCCCAACTCCTCCCCTCCCTTGTAACCAACAAAGGTTGTTTCTTTTTGTGTGTGAACTTTTTCATGAGTTTTTACAGTAGAGGTCGCAAACAATATTTGTCCTTTTGTGACTGACTTATTTCACTCAGCATAATGTCCTCTAGCATAGATTTCTGCATTTTCCCTTTGCTCTCATTTTTTAGGAAGAGCTCTGAGCAGGGATAATTCCAAAGCTCCACTAAGAATGATCTAATAATATCTGGGATAGTACAGTGTTTTCTATAACAATACATCTCATTTCTTTATGTAGCACCATATCCCTTTCAAGGGATTTTCTTTTTGGTCATCACTGTTATTTCTCACAATAGTTCATGAAGTAGATGGAACAGGAATTATTATCTCTAATTCACAATTATAAAACAGGCCCAGAAACATGGAGTGTCTTGCCCAAGATTATAAGATGGAGTGGCTTGGCTAAGAGTACCTGGTACATGGTATATCCTCTAAGATTTACTGGCCTAAAGGAGACTGGAGAAACCCCGAGAGTATGGCTCCCAGACACCCTTTTAGCTCAGTGGTGAAGTTACCTTCGAGGTTCACTCAGCAGCCTGGGAGTGGACAGCCCAGTAAAACCATGAGAGTAACGAGGTACAGGAGTCCAGTGACAAGG